ATTCTGTGTGGACACAGTGGTCTCTGATTGCCTGGGCAGAACCTTGCCTGGGAATTGCCTGTCTGACAGGGCTGATGTGTCTGTGAGCTCCCACAAGTCTGTTACAACAAGCCAGCTCAGCACAGGTTTGTTTTGTGTAAAGTCTGCAGCACTGGTGGGTAAATGTCTGATTGGGTTTTTTTTTTTTAATGTCTGCTCCTGAGAAGAAGCTCTGCACTCCAGACTATTGTTTCATTAAGTCTGAAGAACTCTTCTAAGCCAGAAACATTAAAAACTGCCTCTGGGCTGGAGATTTAAAAGAGAGAGTGATTTTTTTTTAATCCTTTTTCTTTCATAAGTGGCTGATAGCAGTCAAAGAAAAGAAAACTGGAAGTAAAGGTCAAGAACAAAAAAAAAAAGGAATGGCTAGTTTTATATTCTATGCAATTTTTTTGTAAGCCTATGCAAGTCAAATCACTTCTGTTTGTTAAAAAAACCACCAGCTTTGTTAATTGTTATTGCTTAGGTCCATCATGACTTCAAGAGGATTCCTGAGTGATAGCAGCATGAAGTTCTTAAGAAGGAGTCAGAAACTCACAGGAGTTAGAAAAACAGCCCGTGCCAGAAGAAGTGGTTTTATTTTGACACAGTTCCCACATGCAACCTTTGTTTAGCCAAGGGAAAGCAGGAGGCTGATGCACAAGTGATTATTAGCCCAAGGAATGTTGAGCCAGGAGCTTCCTGAACCCCGATCCCACGAGAGCCACTGACTCACGGGGGAACCTGGGACAAATCTCTTGACCTTCTTTTGCTCCCCAGTTGTCCCAGCTGGAAAGGAGGTGAAAGGAATGACCTCACTGGCAAACACGTGCTCCATCCGAGCTGGGCTCCTCTGAGAAAACAAATCACAGTGCCTGCAGCGTTTTCAGCCTGCTGTGTCACCTTGCGTGTCCCCTGTGGTCAGAGGGAGTGCAAGAGCAGCTCTTTGGCATGCTGTCCAAGGTCTTGTCCAGGAGACCCACCTTGGTTTGTGCTTTAGCAAAGCCTGGAGTCAGCTTGCTCTATGTTGTGGGTATTTTCTGCTTTGTTTCTAATGCTTGAAATGCCAGTGAGAAATGTATGACAGTAGTTTTGTTCACTCAGAGAACCTCTGCAGATAGCCTGGAACTGTATATTAAGAAAAAACAGAAATATCCAGACTCCAAGAAGTGTTTGAACAGTGCTCTCAGACACAGGGTAGGATTCTTGGGGCTGTCCAGCAGGGCCAGGAGCTGGACTTGGATCATCCTTGTGTGTTCTTCCAGCTCAGGATATTCTGTGATTGTGGTTTGCTTCCCAGTGTTCCTGGGAGTAAGAGAGCTGCTTCACCACACATCCAGCACAGCTCTGGTGCACTCCTGCTTTCCCTGCAGGGCTCTTGTGTCCTGATCCTTAGAGAGGATCAAGGTTTTAACTGACTTGGCATAATTTCTCTGAAGTATTCCCACCTTGTATTAGGGATATGCCTCCCATTGCTGCAAGGTGTAGGGATCATTTTTGAGCCCATTGCAGGTGTTGGCCTTCAGCAGGGAAAGCTGTGAGGAGAGGATGCCATTCCATTTGGGTCTTTTTGGAGTTGGAGATGGATTTACAAGCAGGCCACCTCCTCCTTGGCTACAAGAGGGCAAACCCTGCCTCCCCTCCATCTGTTTCCTTCACCGTTTTGTGCATTCCTACAGCATAACTTAACCAAACACCATCCTGCTGGTGAAATTGTATTATGTCATTTTCACTCAGTGGGAACTGTCAGCACCAGTAAGATGCTTCATTAAGTAGAAAACAGCAGATAATCTACAAACCCATTCTCAATCAGTCATCATTTTACACAGCTGCTGGGAGCCTTTTCTTTTTCTTCAATAGCCCAGTTTGACGTTGGTACTCGTACAAAATGGGGTGGGGCTAAAATTGGCTTTGTTTTCAAAAGCCTTCTGTGTAAGATCTGTATTCCTCGAGTCTTCTCTTCTGTCCAGAGCTTTCTCCAGGGCTCTGCTTCCATGCAGGGTCACTTGAAGGATCAGCCTTTCCAATTTGGAAGGGAAGAACCCCACCAGAAAATGCCAGAAACCACCCTCATGTCATGTAATAACATCAGCAGGGTTTTATGCATGTGGTGGTGGGGAGAGACTTCAAGTAGGGAGGGAAGTGTCCCTCCCTTAATTTTTGGATGCAAAAGAATGAAGGGTACAGGTGTTAAAAAGACTTTGCTGTTCTCATTTCTGTGCCAAAAAGAGCAAAACGTAGCCAGGCAGTATTTAGAGATTACACAGCCCTGTGATATTTTGAATTTTGATTCTTTTTAATGAAATGCGAAAGCAGATTGCAGCATCATTGGGAGTTTGTCATATGCTTTAATCACTTCTGAGTCTGGTCAGAGTACCTTAAAAGGCAAAGTTAGAACAGGGAGAAATTTAGGTTGTGGTAAGAATTAGGAAATTTAACTCCATTAAATCCTTCGAGAGTTGCATTCACAGTGTTTGTAAGTGAATGTGTTTGTCACCCCAGGACATGTGCATACAAAGTTAATCAGTATGGAGAGCTAAAATTCATATATTTAATGCTATTATCCTCATTAACATCACTGGGGGCTAATTTAGAAGCCCAGACACTGACAATCAGAATTATGTATTTTGGAAATTATTCACTACTTACTGCTTCTTTCCTTGTCATGATGGGTTTTTTCAATTATTTTTGAAAATTTTAAACATAACAAGGGAGACTCACAAATACTTTGGGAAGCTTCTCCTCCAAGAGGCTGAAGTCTGCCAAGTAAGTGACTTGGTTTTTGTCAGGCAGTGGAACAATGGCCTGATTTAATATGACAAAGTAGATGCTGCTAATGAGGTGTGTCCTCAGCTCACCCCATTTATCACTGTAAAGCAGAGAAGTTACCCTGCTCTCTCATTGAAGGTGAATCCATTAGCCTGACACTTTCCAGGAGATGACCCTGTTTCAGATTCCTCTGCTTTTGCCAAAGTATTTGGGATGAAATGTTCTGTGCTGAACAGTGGCCTGAGAAGCATTTAATTTTATTTATTTACTCTGAAATTCTCCATAGAGGCTGTCCAGCCTTTTTCTGAGGAGGGAGGCTAAATTGCAGCAGTGTTCTAAAGAAATCTTCAATGTCTCTGCTCAAAGTGAGGAGCTTGACATTTACCTGCAAGCTTCCTCATATCCAAAGGATATTTTTTTTATTTGTCTCTATGAAGGAGAAAAAAAGAAAGAGAAACTCAAGAGCAGCCCAAGCTGCAGGAGCATTAACAGGCTGTGAATATGTGCACTGTATTGTTGAATAATGAACTTCCTTGGGCTGTCCTTAGCAGAAAATGAGCAGTTCTGAAGAGTGAAGTGCAGTTCTGCAATAAAGGGATTTGTCTGGAGAATAAAACTGCATCTTACATGGGTGAAGTGCTGCAGAGTGGTGTGGGAAATGAACTTGTAGAGAATTTTTGAAGTCTGACAGATGATGGAAACTGCCTTCTGATAGAAGATGGAAATGGAACTACAAACAAGTTTCAAAGGGTGGCCTTACAAGTGAGACTAGATCCTTTAGAGAAACAGAACTATGAAAGATGCACTGTAGTAGGACCCACGAGGGGTAATTTTAGATAATTGGCTTTAAGGCATTTGCAGCATGGTGTGGCAAAAACTGATAGGCCAAGAAACACCTTACAGTGTTTTGTAGTTAGGAAATAGTTCACTTCTGATTGTAATGGTGTGCATTATAACATCTGTATTGTCTCACCCTTCTCATGAGACTGAAAATGGAATAAAAGTTTTTAAAACACCTCTCAGTTTCCCACCTCCAGGTCAGAAAAAGGCCTAATTGATGAGTGGTACCAGAGGCTGTGACAAACTGCAGTTCTGCCCTGCAGGACTGAAAGCTCCATGTCACAGAGCTCTGGAGAGTTCTGAATGATGCTGTAAAATGCTGAGCACTCTGAAAAATTACATCCTGGAGCTGCTGCTGTGCACCCAGCTATCACTGATATCCCACCCTGAAGCAGTGCTGAATGCCATGGGATGTTACTCAGCCAAACTCTTTGGATCAATGCTCCAGCTTTTTTTATTCACCTAGGGCTGTTTAGTTCCAAGGTAAAGACTTAAAAATTAAACTCCTTTTCCACTGTGAGACCCTCATTGCCCTATTTCACAAACATTCTGCAGTGAGGTAATTTCTACAACTGTGAGCAGTCTTAACATATACAATGTATTAAATGCTCAGACACTTTTAGAGAATTTGCTCTGTAGGTTAGAAGTGGTGCACTGGTTATTTGGTTACTCTGTCAGAGGAATCTGTCAGTTTGAAATAATAATCTTAGCAGGGAATTGTTTTGCTCAACACCAGCATTTGTCTGGAATGAAACAAAGCTGTTGTCATCTCTTCAGAGCAAGTCTTTGTGCATAGTGCAGTATCAGGTTGAAACTTGACATGTACCTCCTGATATTCAGTGTCTCAGTGCAGCACAAAAACAGCTTTATCTGTCCTTATATAGGAAGTATTGCCAAACAAAAATGGCTTTACTTACCTGAAAAAAGAAAAGGCCAAGTCTTGCAGAATGTGTCCCTTTCAGGGCATCAGGTTTTTTTTTTTTCTGCAGTGGCTTTGTCCTTATTGTTAAAGCAGTCTTGGTTTAGCCCTGCATATCTTATTAATCAACTTTTGGCTGACGTTGAACATTTGGAGCATTAAGTTCAGGCTTCAGCTCTCTGCTGCTTTATTCCCATTCATTCTTCTACCCTTTGTTTAGTTGCATCTTAAATACTTTTATTTTTAGCTGTTTAAAAAGATGTAGCACCTTTCTAGACAGTTCCAGAGCATTTTCACAAAGTTTTTCTTGCTGAAGGTGAAGTGGAGAAACAGTAAGAAGTCAATTGTTCATAAATATAAATGAGTACAGTTCCCTTCCCTCACATGATTGTGAGCTCCAGCTGGTAAACTCTGGATAGTCATATAATTTAATTAATTTGTTTCATTTCCACAGGGCACTTGCTCGGGCTTTCCCATGACGACTCCAAGTTCTGTGAGGAGAACTTTGGCTCCATGGAAGACAAGCGCCTGATGTCCTCCATTCTGACCAGCATTGATGCTTCAAAACCCTGGTCCAAGTGCACTTCAGCAACTATCACAGAATTCTTTGATGATGGCCATGGTACGTGTTATCACTCACACTGTGGCAGCTACATGGTGCTGCTTACTGTCAATCTCTGTTTTTAATGAGAACACTTTATGACAGCTTATTTGCTAAATGTGACGTTTACTCCTCAGGGAATAAGGACAAAAATTTTGTTTTCCAAAAGTAGAAATGAAAAAGCATAGTCTTCAGCTTCGCTCTGTAATGAATTTTAAAGTCTTCACTGTGCTCCCAAAGCAACTGCAGTTATTAAACAAACCACTCAAATTCCAAAATGCTGAGATAAAAATGACATAATTGAGGGAATGGATCAAGTTGTTATGGTAACCAAAATGCTTATGGGTAAATGTATGGTGTGTTTGCTGAATGTAAAGATGTGCTTTTAAATATTTTGTTGGCTGATTTCAGTGCTCCCTGAAATATTTTTCTCTGACTGACTTAATTTTTTCTCTCAATTTTATTAGATCCATTAATCTGTACTATCCTGTTTTATGGTCCATATTGCTCTGGCATTGATTTAATATTACCAAATTAATTTCCACAAATGAAGAGAACTTTCCCTTTTGAGTTACTGAGGTAACTCTCCCACCACCCATGAATGACCTCTCAGAGAGTGTAAGGAACTGGTTTCTCCTCAGTTCATGAGTAGCTATCATTTAGGTGTGTGGTCTTCAAGAGTTATTGATATGATGAAGTTATTCATAGCAAATTTGAACTCTCATCATGTAGGTCTGTAGTCCTCTGGGAATTAATTGTATTAATAACAGCTAATGCTGTTGGTGTGAGTTCAAATGCATATTTAAGGAATCTTTTCTTGATGGATCAGCCATTCAGAGACCTTTTCTAAGTAAAAGTCTTCTATAGAAATTTATAATTTCCCAGTTGTTTTTTTTTTTTAATCACAGATCTGTCCTAACAGAATACAAACTTCCATTAAGTTGAAGTGGAAGTCAATAATTTGACTTCAATATGAAAACTTGATCTGACAATCAATGGCCTCAGCAGCACTGGGGGCACGAATGGTGCTGAATGACACCATAAACTGATTTTGCTCAGCAGTAGAACACCTGACAGCTGAGTGCACTGCAGACACCAGCATTGCATGAATTTTGAGATTTTGAGACTCAGCTGAGTAAATCCCAATGGAAATGTCTCGTCCAAGGTCAGCCAGGGGGCTGGGGAGGATCAAGGTGCTGCTTCCCTGTCTCCTGGGGCCTGCTCTCAGAACAATAAACAGCTCTGTCATGGTATCACCATTTTTTTAATGCTCACAAGATGACCCCAGACAACAGTTTGACATTTAGGAAGAAAAGGCTCGGTTCTTGTCCAGAGGAGAGTGACATTTATCCATCTGCTTTTAGCAAAGCCTTTCCATAGGTACTAATTGCCTTTATTGTCATGCCAACCACCAGGCTGTGGGATGGTTGCTTGGGACTTGGTGTGTTCAGTCCCAGTGCTCTGTGCAACCTGGAACAAGGACTGTTTGTATTTTAATTAATTTATATCCTGCTTATCTGCTTCCTGCACAGATCTTGTTCCGCCTTCTTTTTTTTTTTTTTTTTTTTTTTTCCCAAGATATATTACACATGGCATTGGGAGAGATAATGAGATGGCTTAATTAGCACTGTCAACAGCCAACAATGTTGCTCTATTCCAGGGCACAAAGATGTTCTTTGGTGCCCAGGACCAAAAAAAAAAAAAAAAAAAAAAAAAAAAAAAAGGGAATAGCAGTATGTATATGCTCTGGATGTTGAAATGTAATGCAGAATTGAAGCCCTCTCTGCCCTCCAAGCAGGAGGCTGGACCAGCTGGTGGTAAAAACACCTGCAATTCACTGCACCCTGTCCAAACACAGACACTGCTATAGAAAGACTTTTTTTTTTTTCCTGTGGGAAATCCTTAGGAGCCTTCCCTATCTTCAGTTTTGAATTTGTCGTGTGAGATCCTCTGGAGCACCTGGCTTTGTAGGGATTGCACAACTTCTCTCAGTTAAGGAGAAGTTTGGATCTCATTCTCCTGTGTTCTGGAGGGGAAGAAAAGCTATATTTGCTATGTGAGCTTGTGAAACTGAAATGATTGACAGATGAGTTTATGCAAGGGTGAGACTTCTCTTTCCTTTTTCTCTAAATTTGTATTTCCAGTTGAAATGAAGTGTTATTATGATGTTTTAAAATACTGAAAAACAGCTCTGCTTGGGAGTTTGATAAACTTAGGCATAGGTACAAAAGCAGTGTATAATACTGAATATTGACATGCTACAGCCTTCCCATCACTGCCCTCACATTTCAGTGGCTTCCTCTCTTCTCACAAGAGGATTTCCACTGCTGTTTACTTTTACAAAGTGTATTTTTGCCCAAATATATGCAAAGTATGTCCAGAAGCTCCAGGGAAAACCTTACTCCTCATCACATCTCTAATATTTTACACTACAACAACCTAGGGCATTTTTAATTTATCTCATGACAGCTAGCACTGGCACACCTTGTCTGCATTAAAAATTCAGCATGATCCAGATGAAATACAAGGCTAGGGTAAATCAGGGTCAGCAAATGGAACAGGTTTAACAAGACAGTTTTTGGTTGCAAGTCATCACACAGAAGGAATTTTGGGCTAATTGGCATTAGTCTTTAGAAGAGCAGAAGTTGCAGTAAGTGTGTGTTTTGGAAGGAAGACTCTAGCTATTGAGAAATGGGGTATTTGGTTTGCTTAAACTCCCTGCCATTGCTTGAAATTCTATTCCATTTTGTGTAAATAGTGAGGGTTTTATAGATAGGCTTTTTTCAGCCATGATGCAAGTGAAGAACACTGGTGTGGGTTCCAAATTGAGGTAAATTGTGGTGAGTTATTTTGGCCGAGGATGAGTGAAGCTTGCCCAGACCACATATCCCTTTCATGAAGTGTAAAAGAGGTTACACTGAATAAATAGTTCTGCATGTCAACAAGTGAGGTTTTCAATAGTGAAAAAAAACCCAGCTATCAGAAGATACCTAGAACATAAATTTGAATTCTCATTTTTAGAGTGTGCCAGACAAATCTTGATCACTGCAGACCTTAAAACACAAATACAAATCTTTACATTCATGCAGTTTTTTCTTCCTGTTATTTATGAGTTTTTGTATAAAATGGATAATCCTTTTCAGACTGGCTCCATAAGCAGCCAAGTATCACTCCTTAGAAGAAAAGTGCAGTCCAGCTTCAGTGGCAACATTAGTTTTGATACTAATAATTTTGCTATTTTTCCTTTAGCCTGGTAGAAATTTTGATTTTTCGATCTGTTTTGTTTGGGTTTTTTGGCCTCATTGGCTACAAGTCTGTGCTTTTTGATTTTTCTGGTATCCCTTTAGAAGCTTTACTATTTCTGATTTAAAACTCAAATTACAACTGTGCTCGCACTGAGTCTTGCTTACATGAGTCCAGCTCGCTGCTTAAATCACAAATGGATAAATAGCATGGCATGTGTTCCTAGTCTTGTGTAAAGGATTGAAAGGCCAAAAGGGTAAACTGGGTAAACTCATTTACACCTCAGGCTGGGAATAGGCAGCTCAGCAGCAGGGTCAGAACGCAGTGGCAGCAGTCTGACCTTGTGAAAACCTGATGCCACCAGAATCTTCACATCACCATCCCTCGAAGGAGGCTCGCTGTCGCCCGAACGACTTCGCGGCGCCGCCGGGAAAAGAACAGCAAAAATCCAAGCGAACAACCCCTTGTCTTGCTCTTGTAGGGAACTGCCTGCTGGACCAGCCCAGGAAGCACATGGTGGGCCCCGAGGAGCTGCCGGGGCAGACGTACGACGCCATCCGGCAGTGCAAGCTGGCGTTCGGCGCCGAGTACACGGTGTGCCCCGGCATGGACGTGTGCTCGCGCCTCTGGTGCGCCGTGGTGCGCCAGGGACAGATGGTCTGCCTCACCAAGAAGCTGCCCGCCGTGGAGGGAACCCCCTGTGGCAAAGGGAGGATCTGCCTCCAAGGGAAGTGCGTGGACAAAACCAAGAAGAAGTACTACTCGGTAAGTTACCCCGCGGGGAATTGGAAAAGGTGATCCCTCAGAGGGGCTGGTTTTTGTGGGAGTCGGATTGAAAGCTGCCTTGGTTTTTTAGCTCGTAATTGGGGTGTTGTTGGTGAGGTTCAGGAAGTGTATTTTCTTCCTTAAGGAAAGCCTCCATTCCTGGAAAACTAGACAAAGCGATTTTCCCATTCAGTAAATGGCACTTAACAGGACATGGCTTTCTGACCTGGCACGGAAACCAAGATAAATCTCATCTCCACATTTAACTTACAGCTGTCATCTGAAAGGCCCCAAGGCCCTAATTCTACTGAAGAAAAGGACAGATGAAATTAATCCAGAATATAACTTCTGGATCAGAAAAATTTGTGCTTCCAGTGACAAAGAACCCGTGTACTTTATATATCTGAAGAATCCCCAGCCCCATGAGAGCTGTCAGCTGCACAGTTCAGATACTTCTAAATTCTCTGGGTAGACAGTAGCCCCTTCTGTTGCATCCACAGAAGAGATGTGGACTTGCAGAGCTTTGTGAAAATATTTCTAAACTATGGGAGCCATTCAATTCAAGATACAGCCTTTCTAACAGCACTTTTAAATGGATTTCTGTACCCTTTTATATGGATTTCTATGCTTCTACATTATATTGGAATACCATAGGCAGTGTGGCAGAGTTGACAACTCCATCTCTTGCCAGTAATTCCAAGCAATACCTACACATCACAATATCTGGATTTAATTAATCTCAGATTAGCAGTAGGGGTATATTCTGGGAGTTGAACCCCTTGCAGCAAGTTTAAGGGGCCTTTTTGGTAGGAATAGCAAAAACTAAGAGAGCAGCCCATGAAACTGTGGGTGTGTTCTGTGAAGCGGCTGAAGGTGGAGCAAGGCCCAGCATTGGCTTTGCACCCACAGTGCAAATGAGATGTCATCAGCGTGCAGATAAAAGATAGAAATTAACTTTGCTGGGAGAAGGAAGGTACCTAAGACCTGTTATCCCTGAATAGCCAACTGAAGGAATTGCCTTCACCTGAGGAAAACATTAGCAGTGACTTTGAGGTAACAGCTCCATTCATGTTTGGATGACGAACTCACCTCCTGCCGTTCCATGTATTTTTCAGGCTTCAAGCCATGGCAACTGGGGATCCTGGGGCCCCTGGGGACAGTGCTCCCGTACCTGCGGAGGGGGAGTTCAGTTTGCCTATCGCCACTGCAACAACCCAGCCCCCAGGAACAACGGGAGATACTGCACGGGCAAGCGGGCCATCTACCGCTCCTGCAACGTCACCCCCTGCCCCGCCAGCGGTGAGTGCCCTCCTGCTCCACCCTCCCTCCCTCCCTCCACAGACACTGAACACTGATTATCTGCCCTGAAACCACACAGCAAAGGCTCACTGTGGCCTCCCCAGGTTGTATTTATCAAGGCAAGACGTTCTGCATTAGTACAATATCCTAATTCCTCACCCACACCTCGCCCTGGACGCCGTAGAGAAAGCGAACAAATTCAGTCCTCTAAAATGAAACATCATGCAAACTTTAGGCCTTTAGTGCTTGTTATGCCATTGGGAGATTTCCAAGCTAAAACAGTAGAGGGATTGGAGGGCCAGTTCTAAGTAAAGAAGTGGTGTGACATAACTTAAAAATGATGTAGGAAAGAAATTGGAATAATAGATGGACATAATGATATTTGCAGCGTGGTCTGAAATAGCCACTAATGATGTGAATAATTCCACAGCCAAATCCTTCCGACAAGAGCAGTGTGAAGCAAGGAATGGCTATCAGTCTGATGCAAAGGGGGTCAAGACTTTTGTGGAATGGGTCCCCAAGTATGCTGGAGTACTGCCTGGAGACGTCTGCAAGCTCACCTGCCGAGCCAAAGGAACCGGTTATTATGTGGTATTTTCTCAGAAGGTAATGGCAGCTCCAGTCAGGATTTCAGTCAGCTTAGAAGTGTCCCATATTTTAGAAATCTTTCCCTGCAACCAGGGAAAAGAATCATGTGATGCAAATATTTAACTGTGATCAGATTTAAGGTTTTGATCCAGTGGTTGTACCTTAGGGCCAGAAAATGAGATAAGTTTTTCCATATCTCAGTATGTGAATGCATGAAAATTATGGGCCTCTCTCTACTAGGTTGTTTTCAGTAGTGGATAAAAGGCTTTCTGCCTGGAGTTTTCTGTCATTATGGGGTTTTCTGGAGGAAAAAGAGTATGAGGAGAAAAGAGTAAGTCTAACCCTGAACTATGTTTAAAGAGTCCAAAGTAATTCCTAAAGAACCAATTAGTATAGGATAGTTAGTGGTACAGATATGACTTGTGGTCGATTTGTTCTATCAGATGCAATCCAAACTGAAAGTTAGCTGTCCTTGCTTTTGTCCTTTTGCCACATTTCATCTTCTTTTTTACCATCAATATTAGAGAAGCTCAGTGTGATCTGTCAGGGGAGGCGACCTGCTCCGAGTTGGTGACTTAAATAAGGAACTGGGTTTTGCCAGGTGGATCCAAACCCACAAATCTCTGTGGCAGTCTGAACCAAGTTTTATTTGCTTGCCCAGGTCACCGATGGCACGGAGTGTCGACCCTACAGCAACTCAGTCTGCGTGCGAGGGAAGTGCATCCGAACGGGCTGCGATGGCATCATCGGGTCCAAGCTCCAGTATGACAAGTGTGGGGTGTGTGGAGGAGACAACTCCAGCTGCACAAAAGTCATGGGAACCTTCACCAAAAAGAGGTACTGATCTCAACAGCAAAGTGCACCTTGTTGTGTAAATAGTTACTCTGCTTGCTTTCTGTCTCTAAATGCAATTTGCTTTCACATGGGGGAAAAAACACACTGCCTGTAGCTTATTGCAGTTTCCAGATGTGCACAGCTGGCTCCTAGCATTATCCTGAAATTGGCAAAGCATGAACAGGCAAAGCATTGCACCCAGCTCATTTCTGACACAAAGTGCCAGTGAAGCAGGTGAGCACCAACAGCAAGAGCAAGTCATGCCACTTGCAAACCTTGCTGCGTCAGATGGATTGTGGTTCCTAGAGGACAGAGGAAAAGGAAGAGAGAGGTGAATCAGAAAGTTGTTGGGATCAGAATTATCTGCATCTGTCTGAAATTTTGCATTTCCCACTTGTTGCTGCAGTAGCAGGTTACACCCTGAGAGTGCTTTTTCATCTCATCTGTTTGAGTGGCACTGAGGACTTCCCACCTGATCTTGTGACAAACATTCCTTGTATTAGAAGTGCAAAGGAGCAGACAGCTGTAAACACCTTCCTTAGCAGCTGAGAGAGATTATACCAAAAATTGCCTTTTCCCACTGCTGAGTAGGTGTGGAGTTCAGATAAATAGATGAGATATCAGAAATGCCATAGGCTTACTCATGACTATATCTCTTCATATCCCTTCATGTCCACTGGCATAATATCAATTTCCAGATGGATTTTTTAAAGTCAAAATATTTATAGCATTTATCCATGAGCCATTTTTCTCTCAGAGTTCACATTCTAAATGTAGTAAAACTTAATACAAGTAAAATAAATCAACTTCTGCCATGGTTTTCCCTCACCACATTAGGGGCAGTACTGATAGGCCAACCTCAGGTAAGTCCTTTCTGTCAACTAATTTTTTTCCCTCTTCAATTCTTAAGATCACAGAAAAATTGGGATTTTTATTCATCATTTATACAGATACCAAGATCTCAAAGGACTGATTTACACATAGAAACTTTTAGTTGACAATTGTTACTCAGAATCAGTGACTGTGTTAAGCATCTTTTATATATGAACTTGATTTTATAACGTCCAAATTCTTACATAGCATGTTGAAAGCTACCAGAAGTTGAAATCTGACTCCTGAAATGATCTTTTATTTCTATACATTTCAACAGACTGATTAATAGCACTCAAAAATGGCTTGGAGAGTGAATTTATTTTAAAAATAAACATAACTAATCTTCTTCTTGGTAAACCAATGATTGCTCACCTAATGATGCCAAAACACCTCTGCCAAAAAGAGTTGCTTTCCAACCAAATTAGTAATTTTATAAACCAAATATTTTCCAATTTGTAAATACTGGGATGTCTGGGAATGTCTAAGTGAAGTTGACAGTGGGAGATGTATTTCATGTGATTTGGCAATAATCAAGCTCCAGGAAAAAAGTTAGAGGGGCTCCATGAATTTCAGGGAGGCCAGATTTGTACCATAGATACACTTGGAAATGGAGAGATTTGTTATAATTATCCCCGTGAAGTTACCATCTTACTCCTCAAATCATGCCTTTAAGTGTCATGAGACTGGCCAGAGGGTGAATTTATGTTCTAATATGATTTTGATTGGATTTGGGACTGCTGATTTATTTTTACTGGAAAAATTGCTTGGGGCAATTCTCCTCTGCGAGTAATTGACGTTAAAATAAACCCCTGATTAAAATAGTGAAATCTTAATTGTCTGTAAACTGTTTGTACAGTTTTGTTTGAAAGGACAGTGCTGGTAGGAAAATCATCTTTCCTCCACTGAAAAATGGCAACTCCCTTGTTGCTGTCCACTATAAACTTCAACAATCTGTACAGAGCAATTTAAATGTACAAGGCAAAACTAATACTTCCCATTGCAGACAATTGCCATGACAACATTTGTTTGTGCTTTTTTTTTTTTCTTTTAAAGCAGGCAAAACAGAATCTCCTGGGAAATCTGCTTCCTAGGGTTTTTGTTTAAAAAGCTGTAAAGCCAAATTATCAGAAGTTGGGAAAGAGGGGAATTAATCTGCACATGCTTCTCTGTGCACATGGAGCATTACAGCTCTTCGTGCAGACAATTTGAATTTTCCAGGACTGCTTGTAGGTTTTGAACAAATGATTTTGTAACTTTAATGACATGTTTGAACTGAGTTATTCTGGCAACTTTCATGTAAAAATATTTGTGCAGTGCTGTAGAGCAGAGTCCCCAGCCTGGGATTCACACCACATTGCTCCAGCTTTATGGACGTGCTAAATCAATGGAGTTTTAAGTCATTGTCCCATAACTGCTGGAAATAGCAGGGGATCAGCACAAATGTTTCATTTGTAATATGTGCAGCCTCTACTTGTGCAGCCAAAAATTCTCAAAATTAGCAGTCTGTTCTTTAAACAATCCCAAAGGAGATGCCATCACTTTTATGTATTTTTCATGTATTTTCTCATTAAACCGTTCAGATATGAGGTACTTTGAGGACGGCTTTGTCACAGGTTTAGGAATGAAAACACGTCTCCAGTGTCCAGCTGGTAGCTTGCAGCTATGTAAAGCCTTTAAATTGTTTTCTATATATCAGTAAAGTTAAAATAACATACTTGAGATAGTGATAAATTCCAGCATGCTTGCAGGGTTTGAATGCTTGTCACTTTCGGTAAAAGAGTTCAATCTCTTTTTCTAAATCCCAGTTAAGATAGTTCATAACCAGTGGCACACATGATGAAGCCTTTGGGTGCCCCTCTTATTAGGCACTTGATGATTAATCTTTGGCTTTATAAATTTCAAAGTAAACAAATTTTTTCTCGGTGATCAAGACTATTTTTAAATGTTCCCAAGGTACCTCTACCCAGCTGTTCCTCTGCTCGTGCTTTCCTTAATCATCATTATAGCAAAGACAGCAAGAAACAGCTGTAACCAATGCATATCTCATTATCTTTTCCTTGGCAGGCAGCGCGTGCATCGTATTTCATATCTCCCACCCTTTGCTGAAATCTATAAGCTATCTGTTATTTTTCATTCCTCTGGTATCTGACCCACGTCAAACTGTCCCTAAAGCTAAAGATTAAGCAATCTGCAAGAAGTGCAGCAGAAACTGCTTGGAGAACATGAAGAACAGCACAGCAGGCCAAGAGCGGAACCTGGTTAAATTAATCTTAGGGAAAATCCAGGTGGCCTGAACTGAAATGAAGCAAGTTGTTGTTGTCCATAGGTTGGACTGAAAGATCTGTTCCAGCCTGCTGGGTCCCGTGATTCTGTGTCATGCCAGTGACTTTGTGAGGCGTTGCAGTGACACTCTTCCTTCTTTCCCTTCCTCCAGCAAGGGCTACACGGACGTGGTGAAGATCCCGGAAGGGGCGACCCACATCAAGGTGCGGCAGTTCAAGAGCAAGGACCAGAGCAGGTTCACGGCCTACCTGGCCCTGAAGAAGAAGAACGGGGAGTACCTGGTCAACGGCAAGTACATGATCTCCACCTCGGAAACCATCATCGACATCAACGGCACTGTCATGAACTACAGCGGCTGGAGCCACAAGGACGACTTTCTGCACGCCATGGGCCACTCGGCCACCAAGGAGATCCTGATCGTGCAGATCCTGGCCACCGACCCCACGCAGCCCGTGGACGTGCGCTACAGCTTCTTTGTGCCAAAGAAACAGGGCCAGCTGGCGAACGCCGTCCCCGGCGGCGCCGCCGGCGGCAAAGCGACGGCGCAGGCCGCGCAGCCCCGCTGGGTGACGGGGCCGTGGCTCTCCTGCTCTCGAACGTGCGACACGGGCTGGCACACCAGGACTGTGCAGTGCAAGGACGGGCACGGCAAACTGGCCAAGGGATGTCTGCTCTCCCAGAGACCCTCAGCGTTCAAACAGTGCTTGCTGAAGAAGTGCTAACCGGTGGCGGGGAGCTGCTTTCCGAGAGGTTTGAGTAAGCCGCTGTTGGCGTGCTGGTGGCAGGTCTGCCCACACAGACAGAAGCAAAGGCTTCAAAGTACTTGTGTTCAGTCTCTAATTATGGGCAGAATCTGCCTGTTTGGACCAAATGAAGATGTGCACTGCTTTAAATAACGGTAGGGTGGTCTTAATACGTCAAAGAAAGTAAGCGTTAAAGTTGTTATAAGCCCTCTGTGTCTGCAAAAACGTAAAATAAAATAATGCAAAAGAAGAAAAAACTAGTGAATGGAGGATCCTGGGATATTTGAAGGTTACAGAATCATCTCCCCTTTTTCACCTACCTCTGCTACAGTTATGTCCTTAGGAAACGTCACATGTCCCCATGATCCCACAGTAGCTTATTTTATACTGTTTTGTAAATATGTTTCAGTTGGTATATCACTTTATATCACTTCCTTCTATTAAAGAAATCAAAAGACAAATTACATAAGCAAAATGATTGACCAAAGTATGTCTGCAGCCCTTGTGGACTTGGTCCATCCTTCATAAAGGGCCACAGATGTTTTACTGGAAAATGAAGAGCTTGCTGCTGGTTTTAAAAAGTGATACCTTTTGGTTTTGACAAAAGGAAATACGTTTTCGCGATAGGAATTTCCTGACAGTGTATCATTAATGTCTGACAAATCCTGTGTTTCCACCCCAAAATTCTCAGGAGGAGCCTTGCAGAGCAGGGAAGCCCCCATTCCTCCAACAGCAGGAGCATCAGCAGCTCCTCCTCGTGTGTGTGTCAGGCATGCACCCAAGGAGGAGCTGGCTGCAGGAGTTTGTGTACGCTGTGCTTGTAAACCTGCCTGTTCCAGCTGTGTCACAGCCTGGGCTCCTTGTTGTCACTGAGCAAGAGCTGCTCGAGCTGCTCCTCTCCATGAAACAAAGGCATCCTGTGCTTTGTAGAAAACTAGTTAGAGAACCAAAACTTACAGGTGAGGTAATCAAGTGTTTTCTAACTCAGATATTCTGAGGGTGTGTTCAGCTGCTTTCTCTGGTGTTTTCTCTGTGGCTTCTGCCTTGAATTTAACAATGTGTAATGTACCTACATCTTTTCAAGAGGCTCTCAAGGTCAAAAAAACACAGCAAGCAGTTAATATTTTATCACTGTTTTGTCCATCGTGTCTAACTCTGGTATTCATCTTACCAGCAAAAGTTTGTAACTATTTGTCTTTTTATTTTTAATTGTTTTGTGTGTGTTTTGGGGTTTTTTTTTAAAGCTCTAGAAGGCATTCATGTTTTGTATATCTACCACATTTGGGAGGAAGAGGGGTCACTAGGAAGTCAAACCACATCAGGATGTGGAGGACTTGTCCAATATCAATAAGACTGTTTCCACAGCACAGGCAGTAGCTGGTAACAGTTTTCCTTGGCAGCAATTCCTGAATCCTGTTATTGTCTTGTGGAAGTTCTGTGACTGAGGCTGGGCATTTCACCTTGTGCAGGTGGAGGCCTGAGAGCAGCCCTGGTAAAATTGCTCTCTTTAATATCTCTTTAATAATAGGCTTTGAATTAGACCCTAAGATAACAGGTACCAAAATAAAGGGTAAAAAAGCCCACTGATGAAATAGACCCCATCTTTTACTCCTTTGTTCATCCACACAGGAGAGCAGGAGACTGCAGGAGGATTTTCAGACAAGCCTCAGCTCTAAGTCAGTGGTACTTGAGCACTGAAACACCTCAGGCTCTTCTGAAAATCCCAGGCATGAAATCAGCAGGGAAAATTCGCTGGAGTGTGGAGCAAGAAGGGCAGGTCTGACTCCAGGCTGACACAAACATGTTTTTGCAACTGTGGCATGTTTGTGTGAACTCTCAAAAATCATGTGATGATTTCAAAACAGCATAGAGTTGCTACATCTCCAACTGTGAAATCTGGAGAAGGATCTGGTTTTTTACCCTGTTTTAAATAAACAGTACCAAGGGCAGGGCCTCCTCCTCTGTTAAATGGATTGCCAACAAATGTTATTAATCAGCTTTCAAAAATGGTGTGGCCTTCTGTTCAGGAGTAGATCCTGTGCAAAACTGTGCATCTTGAGGAATACTCCCCATTTATTCTTGATCCCAATTGTAAGAACTGGTATCAAGGCTCAGATGATTTGCACAGTGCTGGAAAGTAAACATTTATGCCTCCTCTGCCTGTTAAAATAAGATCACTTTGAAATGCCTTATTTTTCCTTCCAAGTAATCTAATTTTGATGCTTATATGTGTATTACACATGTCCTAGGACCTCTCCAAAACGTCCATAACAGATAGAAACCATTGTGAGAGGAAAGAGATCAGGAGATTGCATGTGTCTCAGCATAGACAGCATTTGTCTCAGCATACAGCTGCTGCATTAAGTGGTGTTTGTGTTCTGTCATCGTGGAGACAGAACGTGCAAGTATTTGTGTTTGCATCATGGTAATAATTTATTGTATATTCAGCAGGCTGAGTAAAGCTTTTGGATGCTATCTAGGCATGCCATATGCGGGTATAAATTCAGAGCTTCTTTAGATCACAAATATCTTCTAAAAATGAAAGAGTTTACTTAGAAATAAATCCGAGAACAAACCACTGCAGTGATTTTCACCAGTGTAGCAACGAAGCAAATTCACATGGCAAAGATGTGAGGAGGCAAAGGGGACAGACCAAGGCAGGACCTGAAAAATGTCAGGTAGAGGGTGAGCCAACACTTGCTTTTTCAGGTGTTCCCAAATCAGAGTCCAGTTCCAAACCTTGCCTGTGGCAAGGCTGTCCCACTTTCCTGATGAGTGAAGAATTGGTGCAAGGTCTGCTCTCAGCTGAATCCCGTGTCGCTCACACTGTGACATCATTGTTTACATTTCTGCCCAGTGTTGCACAGCTGGATTCATGAAATGCACCAAGGGGATGGAAACCTGGAATTGTGCTCTTGGCACAGCCAGGAACCATCTCAGTGTTAAATTCACTCTGACTTTGAGACACGCTCCCTTAGGTGAATTTGGAGCCCAGAGCATCAGTGGGGTTTACAGCATCTGCTTTGCAAGTAGGATATTCTCATTAGGAAAAAGCCTGGCATCTTTGGTTTGACTGTGTACAAGAAATTAAGTTCAGCTGCCCTCCTGTGGAAACAGTTTTATCACAAGGGGAAGAGGGAATAATCTTGTGGATTAATAACAACTGTTTAAAAAAAAAAAAAAAGCAACACAGCACTGAAAAAAATAAAATAATTTATTGTTTTTACAACTGGTATGTGAACGGATGTAATGAATTTATTTATTCTTATTTAACAAAATACCAATTGTGCAAATTCTATATTTAAAATGTTTTGCTGTCGTCTCTGTCTCTCTTTCTGGCTCTTTTAATTTATGCTTCGGGTGTGTGTTGAAAGTACACCTTGTGAGTTTACATAATATATGGCACTGGTCATTTTTTGTATGATTTTATTTAGAAGACTTTCTGCATGTATGGGTATACACACATGTGTAGATGTATATTCTTTTTCTGCTGCCACCTTTTCCTTCGAGAAGTTGTAGCTTTTTAATTTGATGACACCTCATGCTCCAAGCTCCTTGGTACACTTCAAAAAGCTCTCAACAAGCAAGTCCCAAAGGTCTGCGGGCCAAAAAAGCCCTGTAGTGGCTCCTGAAGAATTCAGAAAACAGATTGGTGTCTCAAAGGCACGTGCAGTTCATGCTGGAGGCCTCAGCGATTGACCCCCAAAGCTGATCCTACCCCTTGCTTAAATTGTAGCAGAATTTCGGTAACTGGAGTCCTTTCCATGGGAGTGAAGTTCCCCTGAGTTGCCAGCACTCTTCTCTCATGCAGCTTCTTATGTTTAAGTGACAACACTAAAGAGGAAGCTCCTGGGTGTCTCTGTAAAATAGCTTGATAAACATATGATTTGGTTTATGAGGACTGAACCATTAAAAAAGCTGTTTTTTTCTATGTTACCACTGTTTATATACATATATAAATATGTATATGTGGCTATAAAAAGTCAAAAGCCCAACTTGGAAGGCTTTGAAGTGTTTTACCTAATTGTATTTCAGCTCTTTGCACCACATCAGGCAAAATTAGATTTTAAAAAATCCAGCAAAGCATGTTTCCATGAGAATAATACCTGTTTGCTTCCACTTTTCTTCCAGTTCAGCTAGTGCAGACCTCAAGGGAACTAGAATAGGGTGCAGTGTGAGGGGAAAAATGTGATATGGACAAACCTCCAGCTTTTCTGCAGTCACTTCAGTGACCGACACAAGTGGCTCTGCGAGGGCAGTACCACAGCCTGCACACGAACAGTTCCACACTGCTGAAGTCACCTTGCTCCCCAGAGCCCACCTGAGTTAAATTCCAGCTCTTTTCTGCCACCCAGGCACTGCCCAAGCCACGGGGCTTTAGGGGAATTAGGGATGGCCAGTGGGTGATTCTTCCTCTCAAGGCTCAATCCAAAATGCCAGGGAATACAAGGCTGGGCTCTGATGATCTTAAGGACAGGCTTTGAACAGGGTTTATCATTAATTGTGGGCTTTCAGCAGTAAGTTCAGGTGAATGTTTCTCCTCATGCCATGCTGTTGACACTGAGGAAGTGAAGCCTATAGCAAGAGGCAAAGTTGGATTCTCTGGGTATAGGCTGGAACTTTCCGGGAAAAAAAAAGTTAACGTGGTTTGGAGAATTTTTTCCTTTTTTTTCGTGAAGTGATTTGATTTTTATAGAGCTGCCAGAGTGCCTCACTGCATTCATACTTCCCATGTTCAACATTTTCAAGGGCTTTTTTCCTATGGGTGCCCTTGTATTAACTTAATTAGTTCAATTCTTGCTTCGAAGAACAATGCAAATGCAGCTATTTCTGGTTTATTACGTGCACCAGCAATGTCTCTTAATGCAAGAAAGATTATTGGGTCCTCAGCTGGCACCCCAAAAGGGGCTTTGGGGCTTAGAAGGATTAACCACAAGCACGAGTTTTCAGTGATAAAATCTGAAAAGCCCTAAACACAGGTGAGTGGTGTAAGAGCTCCTCCCCACACCACACCAAGCACCCCAACACCCCCCCACTGCTCTGCACTCTCCGAGTCACAGGACAAAACTCACAGCATCTTTTGCCCTGGAAGTTGTCTGTGGAGGCTCAGAGCCAGTGTAAGGACAGTAAAATCCTCAGCCTGGCACAGACCATGTTCAGACACCCGTGGCTGAGTGCAGGTGCATATTTTGTGTGTGTGCTTGTATGTGAGTATTTGGGTGTCCATAACTCCCACGGGAAAAAAAAAAGTTACACTGGGTTTAGTAATGCCTACATAAATTTAGAGTTACTTCATGGCGTCATTTGGCTTTGCTGGAGGTGCTTCAGACTTACACCACTGTGACAGCATCGTTTTTTCGTTATTTATAGTAGCTGGTTTACACAATTTATCATGTGAACTGTGAAATCTGCAAATAGGTTATCTTATGAAACATAGTGACAGGCATACAGGCATTGTTAAAATCCCATCAGATACAGGAAATATGCTGAATTAAGTAAGTTGGAGACAGGGTATAATTCTGTAGAGCAATACATTTAACTTCTATTGCCAGGTCATCTGCTTAGCATCAGATAAGAGAAAATGAACAAGGTATTGCAGGCAAGACTAAGGGGAAAGCTCAAAGTTTGGGTTTTCTTTGTTTCCCGTGCCTCTTTGTGCACTGTTGGTGTCAGCATATTGTAGGAAGTCACTTTGTCACCTGGCTGAAATGCCAGTACCCCTTCAGAAACCAAGATGTGTCACAAAACCTACTTTTCATCCTAGTCTTTGTCTAATCAGAGGGAGTTAATATTTTTAGAGCACCACTGTGTCAGCCAGTTTACATCATAAAAATATGTTACACAAAATACAAATACCTTTGAACTGAACTGTGCAAGGTCTACACTGTACAATGACACACAGAAGGCCAATATTTTGTTTTGTAAACCATTATATATGTATAATTTACCAGTTGTAATCTCAAAACACTTGACTCTGTGATTTCAGTAAAAGTAATAAATACAAACTCTATCATAGGTCCAAAAAGATTTGTTTATATGGTGTATCTGGGGGCCTCTGTTTGCTCTTTGTGCCCCACTGCAGGCAGGTGAGCATAAAGATCTTGAGCATAAATTTAAGACATCAATATATTCTATATGTGCACACTGCATTTTAGTTGTGGTGGGGTGGAGTTCTAAAGTGTTTTGGGGAGTTGTGAAACAGCAGGAAAGTGCAGAAGGTGGCGTTTGTTATAAGATTCATTATTATCCATCTAAAGCAATCTCAAAGCAATAAAGACCTGCCAGAAGGGATGGTGTTGGTGCATTTTGCACGCTGAGGTGGTGGCACAGAAAGGTGAGAGGTTTTTTGGGGAGACAGAGCTGCAGATACTCCAGTTGAAGTGTGGCTCTTCAGAGGCACTATAACAAAAATTTACTTTTCTAATAGAACCTTATAATTAATTTTCCATGGTGATTTCTCGCTTATCCTTTCACATTCCATAACACTACGCTGGGAGTTTTTCTTGTTCCCAAAAATGGAGCTTTCCAAAAATATATTCCCAAAAGTAAAAGCAAACTCATCCTGTCTAAATCTTACGCCGTGTGCGTGTCTAATCTATTGATTGCTCCCATTGTTACGAATTTTGGATTTTGCTTTCTTGTGTTTTACAAATTGTGAATGAAATTGGTTTTTATTTACAGAAATAGTTTATATGTGCTCAGGAACATCTTTTCTTCCTAGGCTGTTAAACAATGGCAGTGCAGCTTTACAGAGCTGTCAGTACCTACAGAGGGGCCCAAGCTCTTTCCATAAAAGTCTTTACACCACAGGGATGCATCAGTGCCTCCTCCACAGCTTTGGATAACAAGCTGCAATGTCACCGTGATCGTGGCAGCTCCTGTCTCCCCAAAATTCAATTTTCATTTCCCACTTCAGAGTTTGCAGTAGCTCAGAGAAAGCTATTACTGGCAAGGGAAATCCATTGGTGTACAAATCAAATGGAGCAGACACAGCATTACAGACTTTCCCAAATGTCCAGCGCTGCCATAATCCAATTACTGTGCAGGGACTGTTCTGTATCAGGAAGATGAACTCATTCTCTCTTAATGCACTTTCCATCTCATCATATTGTGACATTTCACCTCCTCAGAAACTATCTGTAATTACATGTGAGGAGGGAGATCTTTATTCTCAAGATTCTCAACTTGTAGATCCAAATCTCAGTCTTAGGTGGGGATGCAAGATGGATTTGATCCAATTTCAGTATTCAAACCAATCCTTTTTTTTTTTTTTTGTAAGAAAAAAAAATCCATTTTGGAAACCTCCAAGTACATCCAGTAATCAAACTAAAAAATGTACAAGTCTTTCCACATTGCTTATGCTGTTACCTCATTCTCCAGTACTCTGTGAAGTTTAAAGCAATAAATCCATCATACTTAGACCACTCACCATTCTAAGCTGACCTAAGGACAGGGTTGAAGAGCAAGAGCATGGGAAAAATAATTTAACAAAAGCCAAGGAAAAAAGACTCTTTTCCATGCTTGGGAGGGCCAGGGCGGCAATCTCTTTGCTTTCCTTTGATTATTCTGGGGAAAAAACCCACATCTAAGTGAAAAGTCACAGATGTTTTCTTAAGCAGCTGCTCAAGAAGGCTTTGTTGTAGCAATCTAAGGCTGAGCTTATTAACACAGCCATTTTGGCCATTGCCACCGTAGTGACTGCTCCAAGTGTTGCTAAAGAAATACAGTGAGACAAGGAAGCTGGATGAAATTCTGGAACACGTAGGTGTGGGAGAAAGAAGGGTGAAGAACCCTTACTCCTTCTGAGCTTTAAGCTGCTGGGTAGCAGGTGCTGTGACCTCTTTCAGTGGGATGCCTCCCATGTTTGTGGAACATTTTGCTTATGATCAAAGGCCAAATGCCCTGCTGAGGTTTGCAGATGTGAATTCTGCCCCAGTAACCACATAAGGGCCATACTCACCTATTAGTGCACATAAACTACATTTGGGGAGGGGGAAAATGTGCAAATTGCACCTGACTGGCAATGCAGCAGGGAGGCCCATGGGGAAGCAACCCTGTAAAGCCATGGAGGTACCAGAGAGGAACATCACAGTGAGCACCAGTGATGTCTTAAGTTTTAGCCTTCATATTTTCCAGATTCTGTACTGCATTAGTATATAACTCTGAACTTCATATAAAGTGTTAGCAAGCTCTCCTCACAGCTCAGTCAGACAAAACAATCCTTTTCCAGCCCCAGAAGCAAGGACACCACTGCAGCTTCAGCCCAAAAAGTGCAAACAGAGAATTGAGGAGAGCAAATCTGAAAGGATGGGACTGCATCACCTGGAGCTGGAATTGGACAATGAACCCCAGTATGGAAATGGACCAAAACTTATAAAAGTGTGAAAACCCATGACTCAGGGTCCATCTTGGGTAGAGCCACAACCAGGCTCTTCTACTGCCCAAGGTGCATCCTTTAAGGCCTTTTAATAAATATCTACTTTATTCCTTTAACGCTGTCCAGCCTCTGTTCCAGGCAGCCTCTCGAGGCATCCCCAGGACGATCCCGTCGTGCCCCAGAGCATGGGGGAGCTCACATCTTGAAACAGTTGAGAGCTGGCAGCAGGCCACCCACGCGAGGGCCGAGATGGCAGCTGCCCAACAAACAGGCCCAGTTACCTACTAAAGGTGGTCTGTAACTAAAGGGGGACAGAAATTACACTGGAAGCTTTCCGAGAGCACTTTAAAGTGGTCGATTTGAGGCCGGGCCCTGCCCGCTGGAAGCGGGCCTTTGCCGAAGGCCTCGCTGCGCTAGGCCGGGTTTAGTCCAGAACAAACAGCGCTGGGCGCATTCTGTGTGGGCTGGGAGGAATGTTTTCTCACCGATATTTATGTGGCATGCTAAGATCTGACAGCCATCCAGAGGAGGGGTTTGGGGCCAATATTTCATTTTAAAT